TATGGGCTGAAAATACCTTGGACGTGAGGCCCTGGGTCCTTTACAAAAATCAGTTCCCAACTTCCTTAATTCTCTAAGCTTGAAATCCTAACTGTGAAGTGTTCTTTGACTAAGGGAGGCCAACAGATGGTTGTGCTACATGGCCACTTTATGCTCGGTCCTAGAGCTGGTGGAGAAAGATCCTTCGCCACCAGCAGTATAACAGCACGAAGAAGCTCCAGAAAGAACGTCACAAGGGCACGAGATACTGCTACACTATTTAATGCTTTCGAACAATCTTTTGTCTGCTTAGAAGTGGATGGCCTCTGAATTACTAATCCAGTGAGGCAAAAAATTATATCACACTGTAACCTGGCAGCGGGGTGTCATCTTGTCATGGCAGCTGCTGCTCCAGGCTTCACTGTTGCACAGAAAATTGAAAAAGAATCACCAAATTCAATTTTGAGTTGGTTAAGCATATTGGGCCAAATCATGAAGCCAAAAGGGTATATGTTTAATTTAGTGTCTCTTCTCTGCACACACTGTTAGTAAGGAAAACCATACTGCTCTAGGCTCTAACAGTAAAATGCATCATCATCATCGGGACAGAAAAGAGGACTGGAGACAGGGATCTTTAGGGGACGAATGGGGCAGGCAGTACAAAGTTGGAAGACTTCCTGTGAGGCCCCAGCAAGTTGGGAAATCCCCGTAAGGTATATGAGCAGTGCCTTTCCTCAATCATACACTTCCAAGGATCCTTAAGCTGGGTTTCGGCAGATCCATGAACCCTCTCAACCCTAATAAAAAAAAAAATTCATATATGGCATTTATCCAGAGGGAAAGCCCATAATCACCATATAGAATCTGTTATCGGTAAACTACGCTTTGAGTAACCGTCTTTCGTTTGGCCCAGGGTGAACTTCTGAATGCCCGCCCCCACCCTGCCTGGTCCCACATGCAGCCACTCTCTGCCTCCTGCCTGACTCCATCCTTCCTGCAGCCCAGCCCTGGCTGGCCTTTGCCCTGCACTGCACATCTTCCCACTTGCCATTTCCCAAATCATATTTTCCAATCACATTCCTCCCATCATCCCAATGCCCAGTTCAGAGAATCTTGTCTACAAAAAAAGTCCTTGTTTAGGTAGAGATTGATATTCTAATTCCTTCCATTCAGCACAAGGGGGAATAGTCAACATTCTAATTTCAGCACAAGGGGGAATATTCAACATTCTAAATCACCTTTCTCCCCTCCCTAAAAGTTCTCCCATTACCCCCGAAGATCTCTGTTAATTCCTGGATAGCACAGATCACACCCCTTTGGGGTCCTACAATTTCCTTCACATGGCCCCAGCAGCAATGAATCCTTGTAGACAAAGTCAATAATGGAGTAAAAACTCTATACAAACACTATAAAAACTCTACACAAACACGAAGGGCTATAATAACCATTAATAATTACAATTACTTGAGCACCACATTCGAGTTACTGTCCTAAGCATTTTTACATTCATTATTTCATTTAATCCTTACAACAAACCATTCATTCATTAATGTATTCATTGAGCAAATATTTATTAAGCACCTCTTGTGTGCCAGATATGGTTCTAGGTGCTGAGGATGCAGCACTGAATTCAAAAGGAAAATGTTCCCTCTCATTATAAGCTTAGATGTTAGAGGGTATAACCATACCCCTTGCCGCCAAGGCGATTCCATCCCATAGAGACCCTACAGGACAGAGTAGAACTGCCCCATAGGGTTTCCAAGGCTGGAATCTTTACGGAAGCAGGCTGCCACATCTTTCTCCCATGGAGCGGCTGATGGGTTCGAATCGGCAAAAATCAGTTAGCAGTCAGGTGTTTTAACCACTGTACCACCAGGGCTCCTAGTGGGTATGGGCAGGCAATAAATAAATCAATAAGTAAATATTTAGCATGCCAGATGGGGAGACGTGCTAAGGAGAAAAATGTAGCTGAGGGACAGAATGTGAAGTCCTGGGGAAAGGCCTCACTGACCAGGTGACATGGGAGCAAAGACAGGAAGGAGGTAAGGGAGCCACCGTGGCAGCTGGGAGAAGAGAGGTCTAGGCAGAAGGAAGGCCCCAGTGCAAAGGTTCTGGGAAAGGGTGTAGTTGGTGTGTTTGAGGCTGGAGCAAATGTGGCTGGAGCAAAGGTAGTTTCTGTACTATCCAGGGAAACGGAGACGTAGAGAAGTAAAGCGCCCAAAGGTATAGAGGTTGCTGGGTAGGCAAACCGGGATTTGAATCGTTGCAGTCAGACACCAGAGTTCTCTTAGAGTTAACTAGGCTGTATATTGTCTCTTGGTACGTGCTGGTGAATATACTGGCTCTTGTGATCGTAGGTGTAGGTAGAACGAAGAATTAACTTTACCCAAAGAATCTGTCTGGCCTTTGTCCCAGGTATCTGGGAGGTAAGCATTCAACACTTAGAATTTCCCCAGTGATTAGAGTGTATTTGCTATTCCTGGTGGGCCCCTGTCACACCTGAGATTTAATGCTAATAAGATGACTCAGAAAGGATAACAGCTGGACCTCCTGGGAGGGGAAAGGGGCTAGAGACTGAGTTCAATCACATGGCCAATGATTCAATCACTCATGCCTAAGTAATGAAATCCCAATGAAAACTCTGAGCACAGCAGCTCAGGAGCACTTCCGTGACTGACAAGATTCTGTGTACACAGAGGTACTGGGAGGTCAACACGTCCCTGGGGACACAGAAGCGTTGCATTTGTGACCCTCCCAGATCTCACCCTACTCATCTCTCCTTTCGGTTGGTTCTCATTTGTATCCTTTTGCTACAATGAAACTGTCATGGTGAATATAGCACTTTCAGAGTTCCGTGAGTCATTCCACCAAGTTACCAAATCTGAGGGGGTAATGGGAACCCCACTTTGGAGCCAGCTGGTCAAAACTGAGGGTATCCTGGGGACCCTCAAGCTTGTGGCTAGTGTCCTGAGGGGGGAAGTGAGAACCCCCAAATTTGAAACCAGCTGGTCAGAATTGAGGGTGTCCTGGGGACCCCCAAGCTTCTGAATGGTGTCCTGAGGGGAAGTGTAAACCTCTGAACTGAGAACTAGCTTGGCCCTGGGAACCCCTAAACTTGTGGCTGGTGTCTGAAGAAAGGGCAGGCTTGTGGGGGACTGTGCCCTTAACCTGTGAAGTTTGGCCTAATCCAGGTTGTTGGTATCAGAAGTCACTTGCAGTGGGACACAGAGTTTGTAACTTGTGGACCTCTAAGCAACTGGCCAGGGTTCCCTGGGTTTGCCTGGCCCACCCTTAGAACCAGCCAAACCTTTTCTGAAACAAGGGGTACCAGGGCTAGCTGTTTCCTAAGAGAAGACAAGCTGTTTCCCAAAACGATTTTCTGGCCTGTTTCACTGGTTGCACCAAGCAGACAGAACAGGAGTTGGACTTAAAAGTATCACCACAGTATCACTGTGCTTGTACTCAAGGGGAAGGGTTTCTGAAGCTCTAATTCCCTGGGAAGTACCACGCGAGTGGAAATCTCAGGCTTTCATCTATTAGCGGCACCCTGGTTACTTATACCTTTGCCAATTTTCAAGGCAGCAAAATTAGGTTTTAGACATCCTGTGCAAAGGGAGGCAAGCCTCAGTCGATATGGGCAATTAACCCCTAAATATTTAATAGATGCTATGACTGCTCCCCTTCCCTGGGAGAGAGGCTCTGGCTAGTCTTTAGCAAACAAATAGGTCAGATGAAAAAGCAAGGCAGTCAGACACCCCAGACTGCTCTGCTCCAAGACCCCAGGAAACCCTTAAGACCAGGCTCTGGGATGACAATGTGGCCAGCTGAATGGTCTTTTGTGACAGTTCCCTCCCCAGTGTTTACACATAACAAAGCCAAAAGGATAGAAATGCACAGCCCGCTCAAGCCCCCTCGAGCCCCGTGGACATAATAAACACAGGGCATGAAACACCGAGTCGCAGTGGTGGATGAGGCCTGCTGTTACACTGTGTGAACGAACGCGCGTGTGTGTGTGTGACGTGGTGTATGTAAGGGGGTGTGTACAGGTGCTCCTTGTCCAGCTCCTAGTTTCATGGCTTTGTTAAAGCCCTCTCTGACTTAACCTGCCCAGGTCCTTCTTCCTTGTTCCGTGTGACCCAACAGGGCCGGCTTATCTAGGAGGCACAGATGTCCAATGCCTACGGCCCCTAAAACTCTTAGGGGCCCAAAAAAATATTTTAAGCCTTTTAAAATCCAAAGGAAAAAACGAAACTTTTAGACGCAAGAAAATTTTTAATATATGATATTCATATATTTGACTTTATAACAATGCAGCCATAAAACATACTTTTTAATACTGTTTTAGGGAGGAAGGGGTCCGCGAAGGCAAAAGTGCCTAGGGCCCAAGAACATCACCATGCCGCCCTGACTCCCACATGCATCTGTTCCCATAATCACTGCCTTCTCAAGCACCTCAGCATCTTGTAGATGCAACAGCCTTAAGGATGCATCTTAAGGACTGTCTCCTACAGTATCAGTGTTCTCTGGTTGTTTCGGCTTGGTCATCTGCTCTCTTAACCAGACACTGTGTTGGACAAGTGGAAAGAGACACCGCAGGAATGCAGAAGCAACAACAGTGCCAAGAAGGATGTTCTATAGGTCCCACAAAAGCGATAAGCAGGGCACTAAGGGAATTCAGGAGCCCTGGTGGTGCAGTGGTTGACAGCTATGGTTGCTAACCAAAAGGTCAGCAGTTCAAATCCACCAGCTGCTCCTTGGAAACCCTGTAGGGAAGTTCTACTCCGTCCTATAGGGTCACTATGAGTCAGAACTGACTCAACGGCAACAGGTTTGGTTTTGTTTTTTTTTGGTTAAGGGAATTCACAGGTAGGTGCCATGGGTTCTACCTGGGGCAACACAGAGGGCTTCCAGGAGGAGGATGATCCTCTGCTCCTTCCAAAAGGTGCTTCCTGACTGTTTGGCTTGCATTTCTCATGTGAGCTGAGCCAGAGTAGCTCCTTAAGAATCTCTAATCCACTTACCTCCACAGTGAACTCTCAGTCACGCTCCCCAGGTTGAAGTCATACAGCTTTGTCAGGATAAGTATGATCTGTGAGGGGGATGGGGATGAGGGTGAGAGAAGAACAGAAGGGAAAAAAAGGAAGTTGACTTTAGTATGTGTAATAATATACACTGCATCTCAAATCACCCAGAGGAGGGCTTAACATTTATCCCATGAGTTGAGGGGTATTAGAGGATCAAGCAAGGAGGAATACAAAATCATTTATTTAATGCATCCCTGTAACTGGTAGCATTTGTTTTAATCCTGACAATGCTTAGTGTTTGAAATAAAACATGCCAACAGGAATTAATTGGGCATCAACAGTTGTTTCTCCACATCTGTCCTCCCTCAAGGTCAGGCCCAGGCCAGCCCGTGTTGTTCACCAGCAAGACCACCCAGGGAGTGACGGGATGGTGCAAACAGTTAATGCACTTGGCTGCCAACTAAAAGGCTGGCGATCTGAGTCTGCCCAGAGGTACCTTGGAAGAAAGGTCTGCGATCTACTTCCAAAAACTCAGCCACTGAAAATTCTATGGAGCAGTTCTCCTTTGACACACATGAGGTTGGCATGAGTCAGAATCGACTCCATAATAACTGGGGGGACGGGGCGGGGGTGATGTCCACCAAAAGATCAGAGGCTGTGCTTGCTTTTGATGTGGAGATGACTCTGATTTACAGGATTGGACCTAAAAGGGTAAGAAGAACTAGGCCTGATTCTTTCTGCCTACAACAGGGATTAAAAGAGGTGGTGTGTTTCCATCAGTAGGGTCTTAAACCCATTGCCTTCAAGTTGATCCCAACTCGTGGCAACCCAATGTGTTATAGAGTAGAACTGTGCTCCATAAGGTTTTCCTGGCTATAATCTTTATGGAAGCAGACTGCCAGGCCTTTCTTCTGCAGTGCCACTGGGTGGGTTCAAACTGCTAACTTTCAGGTTAGTAGCTGAGAGCAAACCATTTGTGCTACCCAGGGATCATAGCAGGGCCTTAGCAGTCATAAATACTTGAGTGGCAGGCTCAGTTCCCAACATCCTCTGATGGCATCTGCCCCTACCCTGTGTCATCTGCCCCAACAGTGAAATAAGCAGGTTACTGGACCCCTACGGACTCCAGAACCACCTTCCTGACTCCAGCTGAAGTTGAGAAACCCAGAAGCTGGGCATGCCAGAGAGCCATAAAACCTGTTGCCCTGGAGTCGATTCCGACTCCTAGCAACCCTACAGGACAGAGCAGAAGTGCTGCACAGGGTTTCCAAGCCTGTAATCTTTATGGAAGCAGACTGCCACATCTTTCTCCCACAGAGCTGTTGGTGGGTTTGAACCACTGAACTTTCAGTTAGCAGCCGAGCTCTTAACACACTATGCCACCAGGGTTCCTTGAGAGAGCTATGGCTACGCATAATTTGCTAAGTGACTTCCTGAAATGGTCTTGGGCTGGCCAGCCTGTTCCCATGGCCCACTGGGAACTTGGATGTCAGACATTACTCTACCTGACCCTCAAGTGCTTGGACAGTGGCTTAAACACAACTACATATCTAAGAACGTTAAGCACATGCACCTGAATCGATTTTAATCAAAACGCAGGTGCCTAATATACATCGCCTGCCTGCACGCGTGATAATCCAGTTACACATAATTGTGTTTATCTAAATTTAATGCACAACTCATTTCACTTTTCTCAGCTCCTTCCCACTCCACAATTTAACTTCCTCCAGTTTATTTTCACAGCAGCCATTAAACGCTTTCCGAGATAATGAATTTCTGCTACAAGATGGGACTTATGCATTCTAGGTATCCATTTAAGATTAAAGAAAAATAATCAGCCATTATATTGAACACTTTTATGGCACTTAACTGACGACAAAACACTCACTTCTAGATTTATTCTCATCCAGCACCCTATGGGGTCAGTTAGCTCCATTTCCATTTCTTTTATGCAAACTAAGAAAAAAATTAGAGACAAGGGATGTGACCAATTACAGGTCAAAAGGAGTCCAATGCAAAGTTGGCTTGGGGCAGTTAAGATGGCTTGGGGCAGTCAACTTCTCTGAGGGGTCCTGTGACAGGAACTGGTGGGATGGCATGAAATAGTCAAGAAAAACTTCAATGTCATGGCACCATAATTTAAGAAGAATCTACCAAACCACCTGTTCTCTTACCACAGTACAACAGCAAGGGGTGTGTAACCTATGTAAGAGTTGTTCTCCACAGTAACTCAGTGGTCCTTGTCTCTTTCACCCGTCACTAGTTTCCTCATTTGTTAAATGGGGCCTAATGAAGGCAAGCGACTTATCGATACCTTGCCGACCAAACGCCTAGCAATGTGCCAGATAATATTTGTTTGTTGAATTAACATACACACACACACACACACACACACACACACGCACGCACGTACGCACATAAAGCAGACTTGTTCTTTCCTTCCTTTTACCTTCTTTGGTCTACAAGGTCATTCTTCACTGTCTCCATATAAAAGCATGGGTGGCTATGCCCAAACCCAAAAAACCAAACCTGCTGCCGTCGAGTCGATTCCAACTCATAGCGACCCTATAGGACACAGTAGAACTGCCCCATAGGATTTCCAAGGAGCCCCTGGTGGATTCAAACTGCCGACCTTTTGGTTAGAGCTGAACTCTTAACCACTACGCCACCAGGGTTTCTGGCTATGCCCAAGCCATCCCAAATTCTGGAAGAACAAACTCAAAACTGTGCTTTTAAAGGAATGAGTCAGACTACTTTATTTCCCCCAACAATAAGCCTTCTCCAAAAAACACAAAGTCCACATGAAGAGAAGAAAAAGATGTTGGGGCAACAGTTTCACTTAATAGAGCTTTTAACAACTGGGTCTGGGAAGCCCTTCTAAGGACTCAGAGCTGCTCTCATTCTATCAGTCTCCTTCTTTCCCTCACTCCCTCCATCGTGTCCTTCCTCCTTCCTTCCTTCCCTCCTCTATTGGTGACTATAATATTCTGGCCACTGGGCTACTCACTGGGGATACAGAGATAAAGGATCCAGATCCTTCCCTCTAGAAACTCAGTCTACTAGAAACAAAAAACCAAAACACCAATCAAGAGCCGGCTCTTCCACACACACAGTACTACGTGCTGGTGTGCTACGGCGGAGGGTGCAAAGGGAAGTATGGGAATGTTGAGGCACCCAATTCAGAGAGTGGCTGAGGGAAGTCAGGGAAGGTTTCCTAGATGTGAACCCCAAACTAATACCTAAGAAGAATAAAAACTAACTAGGTAATGAGGAGTGCCCTACAAAGAAGAAGCGCCATGAGTCAATACTCAGCTATTCTGGAGAGAAACCATAAAAAAGAATATTATTAGCTCTCCTTAGCTTCTCCTTCCTCTCTGTGGTAGCTATGACAATGCATCTTTCAGATCTCCAACTGCAGGGAACATAACTGACTGAGGCCCCCAGCTACTGTGCTCTGAAATCCACTGCTGCCTTCTCGCCAAGCCCACATCTTTCCACCAACTGCTCCCGGCCAGTGACTGAATATGAAAGGATTACTAAAGCAGGCCAATTCCTGGGGGACATGGGATTCCTCTGATGGTGACTAAGACTTTAGGATTCCCTGACAACCTTGTTGAACTTTCCACAGAACTTCACTGCAGCCTGACACAACTCCACCCAAACTTCCTTCCGTCTCTCCTTTACTCAGGACCAGATCTACATCTCAATCTAACAGCTCTCCTAACCTCTTCTGGCCCCTGCCTCATTTTCTTTCATAGATGTTTCCCCTAATAAATTTCTTACACATCTAATCCCATCCTGGTACTACTTCTTGGAGGACCCAGAGTAACGTATCCTTCCATACCTCTGTGAATATTATTTCTGCCTTCATGGTAGGTAGTTTCAATAGTATCTGCAATTCATACAATTTCTTATCAGAAACCTTTATTAGCTCCCTCTGCCTAGGAATGAAATCCATACTCTTTACCTTGGTATTTGAGGTACACGTGGCCCCATGTACTCCTTCAACCATTTACCCTACAGTTCTCTGCTGTCCTCTGCTTTAAGCCATCCGATCTTCTCTGGTCCTCCAAATAAGTCAAGCCCATTCTCATATCTCTTCTTTCTTTCTTTTATGCTTTACTATTGTATTACTAAGGCGCCCTGGTGGTGCAATGGTTAAACATTCAGCTGCTAACCAAAAGATTGGTGGTTTGAACCCAATAGTGGCTCTGAGGGAGAAAAGACCTGGTGATCTGCTCCCATAAAGATTTTCAGCATAGGAAACCCTATGCGGCTCTACTCTATCCTATAGGGTTGCTCTGAGTCAGAACTGACTCAACGGCACACAACAATGCTGTATCACTGCTTGTGCCCAATCCTTTTGCTACCGCCTGTACTTTCCTGCCTGTTGTTCGAGACACAGGCCCAAAACCTATGTTATGGATTGACTGTCCCAAAAAATGTGTGTCTACTTGGCTAGGCCATGATTCCCAGTATTGTGTGGTGGTCCTCCATTTTGTGATCTGATGTAATTTTTCTATGTGTTGTAAATCCTAACCTCTAGGATGTTAATGAGGCAGAATTAGAGGCAGTTACGTTAACGAGGCAGGACACAATCTACAGGATTAGGTTGTATCTTGACTCAATCTCTTTTGAGATATAAAAGAGAAAAGCGAGCAGAAAGGAGAGCGACATCATACCACCAAGGGAGAAGAGCATATCCTTTGGACTTGGGGTCCCTGCACTGATAAACTCCTAGACCCAGGGGAAGATTGTTGACAAGGACCTTCCCCAAGAGCTGACGGAGAGAGAAAGCCTTCCCTTGGGGCTGGTGCCGTGAATTCAGACATCTAACCTTATAAACTATGAGAGAATAAATTTTTGTTAAAGTCATCCACTTGCGGTATTTCTGTTACAGCAGCACTAGATAACTAAGACAGTCTACCTTCAAGTAGCCTCCTGTGACTACTCCAGCTACCAAAGTTCCCTCCCCTCTGAAGTCCTATTTTGCTTTACACTGAGCCGCATAACTTGCCACTTAGTTATATCCCATCTTGACAGTTTCTGGATCATTACACGAGTT